GTGTCCGTCCGTGTCTCTGCGCCAGCGACAGCCCTTGCGGAAGCGAATGCGACCGTTGAAAGACGACAGGTCAAGGTTATGTCACGGAGAAAGGGAATAGAGAGAAAAAAGGACAAGAAAAAGAAAGTCAGCTGCACGACCGTTGCATCGCTTCTTTTTTGTCTTGGTCGTTAGTGGGGAACACCTGGCGTCGAACAGGTTATACCTATTATTGGTAGGTATTACAATAGGATGAACTAGTTAGGTATTACAACTACAACAGTATGGATGGCGAGATGCGCGGAGTTGAGTCTAGGCTTGGCAGAGGTTCCCCTCCCCCTCTCTTCTCTTGGCACGGAGCGCGGCGTACTTTTGAGATTCTAACTGGGGGCTTGTATGAAAGAAGGAACAATGTCCTGAATTTTTCCTGGTTTTACTTGCCTGGCTAGATTCGGCTGGCGGATGGATTGATGGATGGTGGCGCTCGGGTGGCGTCCAGTTGGTGCCGGGCTTTTTGCTTGGCCGGTTCGCTAGATGCATGATGGAACTAACTACCTAATCTGTACTTGGGTAGTTGGATGGGTGGGAGGGGCATCAGTCTCGGTCTTCCAGCATTGTGGTTCAGAGGGAATATCCATTCCTCGCCCTCCAGCCGCTCCAGTTCATCCGGTCACCAGTATCGCGAGTTGCGAGCCTGGCGAAGCTGTCTTGTGCTATAGAACTCCCATCACAACTATAGCCCGTGTGGAGGCAATTTATATCCGCGGGCTTCAAATTAACATAAATTGCGCCGTCCTTGCGATATGCAGGCTGTATGTATCCTCTCTCTACCTGAGAAGCTCCGCCCAACTTGAACCAGCCACCAGCCACCAGTCGACCACCGCTCTGACCGCAAGGATATCAAGCTTCCCGAATTTCTGGTTTCTCTTTTTTTCTTCGTGTCTCGTGAGCGGACAAGGTTGCACTCAGACCAGGCGCATAAATTTCATGTTTGGTTGCATGGCCGCAAGAGCACGCCATCTCTGAGACGCGGGCTCACGCCACGTCGATCGGAACCTTGTTTCCGACAAGCCTCCTTTCACTGTCCACACAAACATGATGGCACAAAAGGGGGACAGGTGTTATCCCCCTTTTGTGGACTGACTGTGCTTTGAAGTAGCAACTATTTACAGTTGATCAGGAGTTGAACGGGGTGTCGCAGTTTCCCGGCGCTACTATCTAGGAGATAACTACTGAAAGAGCTCCAAAGAACCATCTGATTCTACGGCGGAAAAAAGAAAACAAGAAAAGAAAAATCTCAGTGGAGCAGGATGACCCCCTGGACAAGAGCCAAGCCACTTGTCAACATGGATCAAAGGACCAGCAAGGGTTGACAAGACAGGAGCCCCCTGGCAACTTACTGGTATGACGAGATTTTGTCTTGGGGCTTTGTTGATCTTGCCCTCGGCCCGCCCATCCGCCAGAAAGAAGGTGAAAAAAAAACAATGGGAAGAAGCTAGCGGCTCTCGGGGCTTCCTGTTGTCGGCGGTCAGAAAGAGGCTTTCGCCAGTTCCTCAGGGCAAGCGTCAAAGCTCTCTACAACCCCGACCTGGAAGTCTCGTCATTCCTCAGCGGGACCCTGTACAAACTCGAGCCTATTACGTTCAATGTTAGTCTTCCCAACTCAGTAACTAGTTGAACGTATTATGCAGCCGGCGTCAAAATCCCTACCCAGTTTGCCAGACTATAACACCAGCAAAAACCACACTGATGGAGAATCTTTGTCGGCCCATCTCCCCCCCGTGCCGGGTCCGCGCCCGGGTCTGTGCCGCAGCTTGCATCTCGTCTAGTGCCCCCGACCCCCCCCCCCTCTAACTAATAACGAGTTGTACTTCTCTCTTTTCTATCTGTTGTCTTTGTCGTCATCCTGTTTATTTTCGCCTCCATTGTCCGCGGCGACCCGGGCCAAGCGGAGATCCAAGATACACACAATCCCTCACCCCCACCACCATCCCTTCTGTTGCGAATCGTACATACTCGCCTTGCCCATGCGAGCCCCCCTTGGCCCTCTTTATGCACATGTTTATTAGTTAATCATCTGCAGACTCGGGAGGGCCCCCATATCATCTCCCTGGCAAACTCTCGCCTCTTTTCCCCTTTCCGACCCGCAAGGCTGCGACAAGAACTGTCCGGAGCTCGGCACGCCAATCTGTCAATCTTCCCCTCGTTCCACGCTCCTCTTGTCCAAGCAACAGGCCCAACATGGCTGAGATGTAGCCGCCCCTCGGATGCATCCAGGTTGACGCGCTCGCTTTCGATCTTGAGCAGCTCTGTCCAAATTCTACCTCTTCCCTGCCGCCCGCGTCCACCCGGCTTGCTGGCTGCTACATGGCCGACGCGGACATCCGTGACCACATGGTCGTCGGTCCCGACGACCACCGAGCGTACATTGTCATCACCGCCGTCGTCGGCCTCACGTGGAGCGTCCTCGTCCTCGCCATCCGCCTCTTCATCCGCCTCCGACTGACCGGTCCCTTTGGATCCGACGATGCCGCCGCCTCGCTAGCCACGGTACGCCAAAATAAAATAAAAAAGACATGTCAGGGTAGCCCGTCACTGACCTTTCACGTAGTTCATCGCCGCGTGCCAGACCGCAACTACCCTCTACTCTGTCCGCGAGGGCGTGGGCGTCCGCTACAACGACGCCTACCGTGATAGCATGGACGCCGGGCTCAAGGTACGTGGCATATGACATCCCAAACGAGTGGCGCGCTTCTAACTCGAACGCAGGCGTACTACGCAAGCACGATCCTGTACATCATGGCGCTCTGCCCGGCCAAGGCGTCCATGTCACTGCTGATATCCAGGGTCAGCCGGCAGGCCGCGGACAAGCACCTCCTCGCCACACGCATCGTCACCGCCATCATCCTCGCCTGGGGCCTGGCCTCCATCTTCATCGTCGCCTTCCAATGCGGGAGCGCGCGCCCGTGGGACCTCTCCGCCCCCGGCCACTGCCCTAATCTGGTGCGGTTCCCCAACCCTTTCGTCGCCCGGTCTAGAATCCCGTCCCACTTTGCTGATACCGTCTCTAGTTCCCGCGCTGGCTCGTCGTCGAGGTCCTCAGCCTCGTCATCGAGCTTCTCATCTCCGGCCTCGCCTTCTCCCTCGTCCTCGACCTCGACATGGCCGTCCGCACCAAGCTCATCGTCATCTTTGCCTTTTCCGCGCAGCTCCTCGTCGCCATCCCCGTCTCCTACCGGCTCGTGCTCCTCCGCGACGCCGCCACGCGGCCCGACCGCCACGCCTCCGGGCCGCCCGTCATGTTCGCGCTGGCCGACCCGACCGTCGTCACGCAGGTGGTGATGCACTTCTCCGTCATGGCCGCCACGTTTCCTTGCTTCCGCCAGTTCCTGCAGGCGTTCAACAACGACTTTGGCGCGACGACCAAGATGGGCACGGACGACGAGCGCTCGGGCGACCGCAGCCAGGGCGTGCGAAGCAGTAATAGCTACGCCATGTCGGCGCTGCGGTCGCGGGGGGAGGCGAGCGGCGGCGGTGGGGGAGGTGGTGAGCTGACGGCGCCGCTGCGCGAGGTCGACTCGGATACGGAGGTGGACGAGGTCACGTTTCGGCCGCTGGCGCCGCTCCGGGACGGCTTGCTGACGCCGGTGGACGACGGGAGGAGTCTGCGGAGCGTGGGAAGTGACCGCGCCATAATTCAGCATAAGCAAAAGAGAGCTTGATGGGCGGCGTGCAGATGCATTTTACCGGGCCTATAAATGTCCCCTGGACTGGGACCTGTGGATCGGGGATTTCTTTCGGGCGTTTTTTGCAGTATTTTAACAAGTAACAAGGATACAACTCGGCGCATTGTGTAAAAGTTTTCAAACGGAAACGACTGTGATTTTACTCTCCATGTACAATGATGAGGCAGCAATCTTGACAAGACAATTCTGGAAACGACTGTGATTCTACTCTCTATGTACAATGATGATGTAGCAATCTTGAAAAGACAACTCTGGAAACGACTGTGATCTCGCGCGCTCCATGTACAATGATCAGGTAACAATCTTGGCAAGACGGCTGCAAGTCTCCTACTCTTGACAACCGCTACAAGTTTTTCGACTCCAACTCTCGCAATCTCGAACATGATTGAGCATGCCGGCCTGTCAAGGCGTAGACGGCCACCCACCGTCCGAGGCTCTAGAAGGGGCAGGTGCCGCGCGGGGCCGCGGTCCGGCGGGAGATGTTATCAACGTCCGGGCCGGGGTTCGGGAAGAGCACGTCGGACCCCTCCACGGTCGAGCAGCCGTTGGCCACGTTGGCCACGAACATGCGCGGGCGGGACCGGAACGGGTCCGACGGCGCCCTGCCCACGAGCGACACGTCCTCCTCCTCCTCCTCCTGCTCCTCGCGGGCGGCCACGCCGCGCGGCTGGATGGTGACGTGCGCGCAGTTCATGTACATCTCCCTGTTCCCGATGTTGTTGAACCAGGACCACGCGAACAGCGCCTCGCCCGCCGGCGCGTCGTCGGGCAGCGTAAAGTCCCACGTCGGCGTCAGCGGGCACCCGCCGACGAACGAGTGGATGGCGAAGAAGGTGCGCCCGCCGTCGTAGGAGAGCGAGGCCTGGCAGCTGCCGCCGTTGTGGGTGGCGGTGCCCTCGACGGAGAGCGAGTAGCGGCCGCCGGCGCGCCAGGTGGCGACGGAGCGGCCCTGCGGGGTGTTGAGGAGGGAGTGGTAGCCCTTGCAGGGGAAGTTGGCACCGTTGGCGAAGAGCGGGGAGTTCATGTCATAGTCGACGCTGGTGGTGTAGGGGTTGTACTTGGAGCGGAAGGGCGCGGGGCTGGTCATTTGCATGTGCGCGCCGGCGAGGCCGAGGACGGCGGAGAGGGAGAGGAGGGCTGGGAGCTGCATGGTGGATGCGCTTCAAGGTGATGTGTATGTTTGGAGGTAAGAAGGTGAGCGAGTTTGCAGGTTGAAGTGGTTGTTGGTGATACGGGGAGGAAGGCAAACTTTATCATGGGATCGAGGGCCTCTTATGTAGATACATCTCCGCGTCTGTCCCGAGACGTTGCACTCGACTATGCTCATCTTACGAACCGTTGCTGAGATGCCACGAATTCCAACGGTAACATCGGGCAAGTCTACCAAGGTGCCATGTCTCTCAACTTGCCACGCCGCTGTCATAGTCAGGATCGTGACTCTAATGTAACCCTTCCCAACGAACATCCCGCCGACCTTGCGACAGGAATGCCGCGTGCTCTGCCAAATTCCTGTCAAATGAACAGAACGCCAGCCACATGGCCAGCATTACTCAATCGGGAAGCTGCTTTCCTCCAGTCTTCCTCTTCTGGTAGGAACCAATGCCGGGGATTGGCCACGGGCTCCCCACGGACATGTCACAGCCAAGCCTTCTTTCCCAAGGCATATTTCTTACTATCCCTAGCCCCGGACTTGAGATGACAAGTCTAGATGGAGGATAGTAGCAGCCCTAGCCGCTGTGGAGGAGTCGAGTGTATTTTCGCCAAGGGACTAGCCCTGAACCTGTAACCATCCACATGGGGAAAACCAGAAGAAGCGCGCCTTCTTAGTTAGCTTGGACAAGCAATATATATAGATTGCAGAGGTTCCGTTCTTGGGGTCAGCTCCGCCCGTAACGTTAACTCGGCCTCACCAAAACGGATGGTTCCAACTAGATTAAGTTGCTGAGGTCGACCATTCCCGTCAAGCGACGTCGATCGAGAGGGAACGCCACGCTTGGTGGCTTACACGCATGAAGCCGCCTGTCATATTGCATGAGGCGAATCATGGCCCCCGTCACATCCCCCGCATTCCCTGCGGCGCTGCAGATTGCATTACTCTTGTCCGCTTGCAGGTTACACCTCTTCCCTTTAGGTCGCCCAAGTGCCGAACCGGGCGAGTCTCCCTACTTCTTTGGCTTTGATGGTGCCAAGCCTCCTGGGACGGTACTGGAAACTTCTTCTTACCAGTGAGTGGAAAAGGAGACTCTGCTCCGCTTCGCGAGGAACCATCCGCACATGTCCAGCGAACCAAAGCCAGCTCATTGGGCAAGAGGAAGATGGCTACGGAATGGCTAGTTGGTTAGTTGGTTGTTGCGCATCAGCTTGCATCACCATTACCGGTAAATTGCAAGCCGGCTCGTCGCGACAACGTTATCGTATGATTGGACGACGACAAAACTGCAAACTCCAACCAAATAGATTAAAGGTATACATCGCCGAAGCTGGACACTTTGCTTCAAACTGAGCGACCATGGCCGGTCCATGCTACGTGTGACGAGCAAGAGGCCCCATCAGACTTGGCTTTTGACGACGTTTACCAGTATCATCCATACATAGTTCAATGTATACTTCCTTGCTAAACAAAAGTTTGCTTGTCTCGCTTGAAATTTCTCAAGAAATTTGACCAGTTTCTAGGAGTCTAGTTTGCGTCGCACATGAGCCGTCATATCCCCAAGATTCGACACATGTCGTAGAATCATTAAACCGTCGCCATAGACACAGCACCCTCGCCTCCCTCTCACTGGATGCGCTTGAGCCGTGCCGTGTTGGACATGTCGTCGGCATTCAGGTAGTCGACGCCGAGAGCCGCCAGGGGCTCCCACATGTACTCTCCCGGCAGGTTCCCTGCTCACAGCTCACATTAGCACACACTTCCCCCATCCCTTCATGTCAGTAGTCGCAACTTACAGTAGCGGACCTTGAGTCCGGCCGCGTGCGCCGCGTCCACCTGCGCCTTCACCTTTGCCCTCTGCGCATCCGAAAACGCCTCCACGCTCCCCGGCTTCCCGATCGCGCTCTGAAAGTCCGCCGACGCGTAGTACGAGTTGCTCGCATTATACTTGGTCTCCAGATCATCCACCTGGGCATCATAGAAGACGTCCCGCCCCGGCACGCCCTCCCCCGCGCTGATCCTGTCAAACGGCGCGGCGCCGCTCGCCACCACCGTCACCGCGCGCTGCACAAACCTCCCGCCCTCCACGCTGCTCAGGTAGCCGCCGTCGCGCAGTGGCTGTAGCGCCGCCGCCACCGCGTCCAGCGTGCCCGCGTCCGACGTCTTAAAGTCCACCATCAGCACAAACCTCTGCTCCGGGTGCGCCGCGAAGATCCCCTTATCTCCTCCCGGCGCGCCGCCGTTGTTGTGGTCGAGGATGGCGCGCAGGGGCTCGGTGTACTGCAGGCGCAAGGTGCGGCCGGGGGTGGGCAGGACGTGTCCGATGATGACGTCGCCGCCGGAGAGGAAGACGTCGGCCTCGACGGCAATGCAGCCGGCGCTGAGCGCGGAGAAGACGGGCACGTCGCGGTCGTAGTCGTTGTGGGAGTGGCAGGCGACGGGCTGGACGTTGTCGAGGGAGGCCAGCGGCCACGGGCTCAAGGGGGGGCCGGCGCCCTTGTTGGCGCTCTGGGCGGTGATGGCTGATCCCTCGAAGATTTCGTTGACGGCGTCCTGCTTGGGCGGCGTCTCGTAGCCGAGCGCGTGGTAGGAGATGCCGTCGGAGCCGACCTGCCAGGTGCCGCCCTTGGTGTCCTTGTTGGTGGCGCCGGAGCACTTGCCGCCGTCTGCGCTGAGCGCGTTGAGATATCGAACGCAGTCATTCTCTGTTGCTGTTAGTGACTGCGACGTGCGGGATCGTACCAGATGACAATCGCGTACTGGAGATGGTATGGCCCGACTTGATCTTGTTGTGCACCTCGACTGAACGTGCCGCATGTGAGCAAGAGTGGTGTAAGACCAGCAAATAACGACCATGCAGACAGACTTACAGTTGACAAAACCCTGAATGCCGTATTCGGAAGGATTCTTGCCGCCATTCAGAAAGACCTCGGTGGAGAGGGAAAGGTAGCCGTTGGGCTTGACGACCCTCCCATCAGCAGCAGAGCAAAAGGCCTGCACGGCAGAAGAGAAGCCCCTTCGCTTGTCGGTGCCCCGTCCAATCGTGACATCGTCTCTGGGCATCCACGCTGAGCCGCAGCTGGAGATGCCATCTGTCGTTCTGGCGTCCGTCGGTGCGGCGCTGGCGAGAGGGAAGAGCTGCAGCGCGCGCGCGTTGGTTAGTCTCAGACCTCTGAACCAGGCTGCGCCATGCGCCGATAGAGTTATAACGATGCCGGGAGGGGAGGGGCGGCCGTAAACTTTGCGCTACGCCCATTGAATGAATCGTACCAAGGCTGTGGCCGTTGCCAGCGCTAGACTCGAAAGCTGCATCATGGTTTGGTTCCTGGGGCGGCTACCGCGAGCGACACATTCAGACTCAGTCTACCCTTCTGTTCATAAGAAATTGACAAAAGGATGACGGAGGAGCAAAACATAAAGGCACAGGACACACAGACCAAAAGCACGGTGGCCTCCGGCATGTAAGCACTTGGTCTGCAAGAGAGGAGACGATCAAGACGCCAAGGCCGCAGGGGTGCAAGTCGCAGCTTAAAATCGTTGCTTTTTACCAATGATCGCCGCCATGACCCGGATTGGTTGGCTCCCAGCGCCGCGCATTCGAGTCGAGCTCACTAATCCTTCAACGAAGTCCCGGGTCATAAGGTTGGTGGGCATTGCTTTTGAAGATCTTCACCCAGCGCGCGCCGATGCCAAGTGGAAGGTTGAAAGGGCCTCGACTCTCTCCGTGGTGAATGTGAGGACTGCCTTTGTTGCCATCGCACTGGGTGCCGCAAGTTTGTCGCAATCTGTTGAAAATCCAGCAGTTGGATGGGAAAGATGACCGACCAGTTTTTGTCATCACGGACCGCAGATCCGTTGCCAATCAATTTCGTCGTTATTTTAGCGCATCTAGTAGTGCAATTAGCATCGGGTGGATTAGAAACTTTACAGTCCCTGTCCGTGATCTGATATTCTTCCCCGTTGTACCGGCTACCGCTGTAGTTCGCTTACACATATAGGCCAGCCTGGGCTTCGCCAGGATTGCTTCCGTTCAGCGCAGATCAGCTTTTAAGCAACAAACGTACTCCGAAATCTAGGAGCGCAGCTTAGGAGCCAGGAAGATACATATGGCCAGCACGAGCGCGCCGATGGTGGCCACTGCCAGTCGTCTCGTGATGGAGTCACATAATCAGCCAAGCACGCCCGGCGCCGGGTAGCGCAGATCGTCCAGAGCGCGTGATAAATGAGCCGCGCTTTGGAAGCGACCGTTCCAACAGCCCTTGATGACCTTGCCGAGCGCTACGCCCTCTGTGTTCGCTAACGAGGCTCCCCGGGCTAGTACGCGTCGGCCGTCGCACGGCTCCTGATCCTTTAGCAGGTCAATCTCGCACTAGACGCCGGTCGCGATCTCCCCCATGGTCGGCCCCGAGTACACCAATGTCTATCTGAGCCGTGAGCCATCATCATCCGCGGTGTACACATCCGACTCGATTGGGAGGAGGGAGGCTACTGAGAAGTCGCATAGTTTCAGGAGTAGCCAGCGCCAAGCACCAAGTGATGTTAAACTCAGACGGTGTTGTTTAAGCGATGCAAATGCTAAATACAAAAGAAATAGATCTCAGCAAGGGGCTGAAAGCAATCCAAGTCTTCAGACTGCTGAGTAATCAGCAGTGCAGTTCACAACCTCCAGTCTCGCCTCCTTTCATCCACCACCACCATCCCCGGACGGAATCCCACATAGCCATCAGCGTAGTATTCGGGTTGCGTTTAATTCCGATGCACCGGACAGTTTTTATTACGATAAGTTCCGGATGACTGCGATGTTGGGACTGGACGCATGCACTGAGTGCCCCTTCGTGTGGCCGCAGGACACCATTGAACGTGGTCCTGGACAGGATCCCACTGGACGCAATTGCTCTGGGCTTTTCCTGTACAGTCGGGAAACCTCGCAGGGGTTGCCCATCTCTGTAAACACATCGTAGCCTAGTCCGCAAGTCAGTGCTCCTGTCCCCTGTGTAGATGAGATGGTCATACTAATCGTTACATGTGTCTTGATTCGAGGTTTTGTAGCTTGTATGTAGTTTGCTTTTTTTGTGAAGCTGGCGACAAGTTTAGGAGCGTGGCGGATAGAGAAAGTTATAGACAATACTGAGGAGGAAGATGGATTGTTCAAATACATCCAGCCTGCCTCTAACTAGCACGTGGTCGAGACAGAATCAGTCACCAGTGTTACCAGTTCGACGAGCCTCATTTCATACCCGAAAGGCAGTGTGACGTGACTTTTAGGATGAGAAACGCTGGCAAAACTTGGCGCGGGAGCAGAACAAGTTGGGCGCCGATAATGAAGGGCTATTGATTGCGACACGCATGTCATGAAGTTGCTGACATAGCCCTACATATGATGGTGAGGCCGTTGTCAATGATGCGAGAGTACCACCAGCCCATGGGATTGACTTGCTGCATAAATTTTCACAATTTCGCATACAGCGGAAGCCTGCAGATGTAAAATGACAGTCGTCTGCGGGAGTTGATATTACGCAGCCAAAAGAAGCAAACAACCCGATTGTGCGTGATGTGATTTCAGGTCATTGTCGTACGGGTGGGTATGAATGAGGCGGCACAGAAACGGCTGCGGGGAAGATCGGCAGCCCGGCCACGCTATATCAGCGTCTATTATGAAGCTAGGTAGGAATAAAAATTACCCAATAACACGGGTTTTCCCTGTGTAAATCTGGCTCAATCTAGGCGAGTTTGCGGAACGCGGCGCTTGCGATCGAGCGGCCCGGGTGATACGGCAGGGACTGTGGTGGCACCGCTCGCTCGGTAGAAAGTGCCGGAGCTGGATCCTACCTAGGCGAAACTTTTTACTGACAGAGAATTGGCGGTAGAGTTCGCCTGCAATGGGAGCAAGTAGGAAACTGGAAACGAGAGGACGTACATACTACGTAGCTATGTGATGGCCCTGGTAGACCCAGGGCTAGGTTGGTGGATGACTTCGGCAAACTGGTTATAGATGTATGCAAACATTGTGAGACGAGAAAAATAAATCAACAGCTGAAACTTACCGTCCATAAAATTGCATCATGTATTGAACTCCTCGTCCCCAACAGTTCATCCGCCGTTGGCGAGCGTTAGGCAAACCGTGACGACTAATAAGAGCCTGCTTCAACTACGCATTTCATCTCCCCCCGACATCAACGATTCGAAGATGTTATCCTATCAACACCTAGCGGCTACTTTCCCATTAATAAACGCCTGGAATTGTATCTACAAAATTTTCTCGCCTCAATAGTAGATGTTTGTGCTCTGGACACCAGCCCTGTGAGCCGCATAAACGACTTCATCAACTCAGGCTAAAGGCCCTGCGCCATCTCACGAGCAATTTCAGTAAATTCCTCCGGTTGCAATTCGTGAGACAAAACAATACGGGTCGAATACGTTGTGGCCATGACCAAATCCAGCTCCAACTTCCTCTCCGCGACCACCTTCATGCTGTGGCCCAGGAGCGTCTCCATGGGAGCGCTCGCGCGGCGCGGTGGCACACTGGACCGTGTCCACGTGCTGGCTCCGGATGAGGATGTCGACTGACGGTGGGCCCATGTACTCTTGATGGTCGCCTTCGGATGCGGTTCGGATCTCGCCCGTGGCCCGATCATAGTACTTGTTGTCCACCACCGGGGTTCGGGCCTCGTCATGCCATCCCGGGGCGTGGAGCTCCAGAGGATGAGACGACGACATGGCGGTGCCAGTCTTTTGGAGAAAAGCCGTCGGCAACATGTGTGAGATGAAGGATGAAAGTGTGTTCCTTTCGATGACTTTGTTCCGTGTTGGAAAGAGACAAGGCTGAGACGGTGATAAGAGGATGCTTTTAAGACGCTGTGTGACGCAGCAGTGGACCCGACGACAGCGACGGGCGCAGTAACATGGATAGATCGGCGGTCATTGCAGGCTGATAGGCAGCATGATCTACGTGGCCATTATTTTTATCATCATTATTCGTGGCTAGGCCACAGGGTGAAGGTTCTGCAACAGACCAGGCCAGTCCTAGACGCCAACCAACCCCAGCAGACGAGGCAGTTGAATGACATGTGCTACAGCGAATGATGGCGTTGATGGCCCAATCAAGGACGTCGTGTCTTCCAAAGTTATGTACATGTTGTGGTTGGAGGCGCAGCTTACACAATGCACCAATCCAAAGTTACCCTTCCGCTTTGCGTCAGATTATTAGCCCGCGAGGTCGGCCAAGGAGGTGTTGAATAATCTCGTTGTCCTCTGGCATTGCCAAGGAAAAGTGCAATTATATGACCGAACTTGCAGCATTTCATATGTTTTCTCACTATTTTATGCTCAGTGTACCGTCTCCCTCGTCATCGGTTGGCCCAAGTTTTAAATCCCAAGAATCCCAACCAACACTGCCAAGCCTACAAGCCCCAAGGCTGCCACAGTATGCATGTCAGGAAGTGCATGATTGAAGAATAATTAACTTAGTTAAAAAATAAAAGGCAGGATGCCGAGGCAATGAGCCAACTACACAACGCGATGCAAACCTCTAACAACACAGGCTACCAGTCAATAAAAATCCAACAATTTCTTGGCCACTTTTAATGTAGGACAGTATTTTATCCAAGGTATTTGGCTTCTGTTCATTGCTCGCCATTCAGAGTTGGTCCTCGGTTGGAATCAGCAGCCTTCATTGACCTACTGTAGACTCAGTAGTTGGTCATAGCTTCCAACCCCTGTCCCTTCCGCTGCAGCCCTCCAGCTTTCCAGGGACACACGACATCTTTCACTCACGCAGTCTGGGTCTAGACTGAACAAGCTTCGCCAGGCGGGCAGCCATATTTATGTATTATTAGTTACGTGATGGTTTCATCTTCCACCACTTCCTTCCGGCAGGCGGCTAGGAGGTACTTCGTTGGCAGCTTCCAGAATGGGAATGGACCCTGAATAGTTTCGTCCCGGCCCTCTTGGCTGCTTCTTAGCTTCAGCCACATCAACTCTAAAAAAAGTCCTCGCTTCAGCCTCTCTAGGGTCGCGCTGCATCAGTTACAGCCAATGCCATCTCGCTCACATCTCCCAAGCTAACCAAGCTTGCAAGCTCTCGTCCTCGCCACTGCTCGCCTCAGGTAGCCCTATCGAGTCCCGCAGCCCGCAGCCTGCCACCATCGTGTCTTGCTGCGTTTGCTAGTCAGCCGGTACTCGCTCTCGTTCCACGTTCACCGAGAAGCCAGCTACACGCGCTATTCAACGTCCGCCCGTTATCCGTCGTCTCTCGCCCATCATCGATCGTCCTTGATACCCGTTCTGCGTATGGTGGCAGCTGAATCTATCCGCGGGACCCGGTTAGCCGAGGCCCTCTCCTCAGGCACTCCTTGATGAGAGCATCGCCAATCGCCCTCGCACTGGCTAAACGCGCCTGAAAATGTCCGACAGCCAAAATGGCCTGACTCCCAGTCCTCCAACCTCTGGCAGCGCCGATTCCAGTCCCACCGAACAGACACGCCCCCGTCGCAAACGCTGGGCTCCCAAGGTCAAGACGGGCTGCATCACATGCCGGTCAGTCTCCTGTCGCCTACACTCCCGGTCGACTCGAACCTGACGTCCAATACCAGTGTTCGTCGTGTCAAGTGCGATGAGACGAAGCCGCATTGCAAGCGCTGCACTGCCTACGGGTATGTTTGCGACGGCTACGCAACAACCCCAGGCCTCCCAGTCTCCGCTGCCCACCAAAACCACAACACCGTCCGCAAAAGCGCTGCCGGGTTCGACCCTCTTCATGTCGTCCTGGACGGGCGAGTAGCGCCTCCTGAGTGGGATTTTATGGAATCCTGTCGATACTGTACGCGCCGTCTCATGGTGCCGCCCTGCCACGTCCTGGCCCAGCTGATCAGTCAACTCCAACAGATATCGAAGCCATACTGCCTATGCGCCAGCGCGACCTTGATTATGCTCAGCAAGGTGCCATAAACCTGTCCACTCGCAACCGCCCAGCATTCCTTCTAGCCATGACAGCCCATCGCATTGGCCTCATAAGCAATGCCATTGATACACTACCCCATCCTTCCCAAATGACTTCCATTGCGCCTCTCTGGAGCAAACTTCACTCCTACATGGTCCACAGTATTCAGGAAATCAACACCTACATAGAAGGCAGATCTGCCTTTACCAAGGTCCAGGCCCTCCTCCGTATCAGCGACCTGCTGAGCGTTGAGCTCACCCTCCTTGGCACCGCCTGGCGAGCTCACAACTCCGGGTTCCTGACCCTTCTCGACAGCTGCAACAAGGCCCAGATAAATCTGCCTTCATCTCCAATTATGGCGACAATCACACAATTCCAGATCGCGTAAGAGAGCCCAACCCGATGGAGATTGCCATCATAGCACCTCGGGTAAAATCGAACTGACTAATGGCTTCGTAGCGTCGCCGTAGTTGCCAACACGACAAGTCCGGCTTCCAACCAGATTCACGAGCTTGACTTCTACACTCTAGAGGAGATAGCCAACTACTTTTCTGTCCAAATATATGCAGAGCTGCCTTGCCCGACCGAGCTCTTTCTGGAAATGATGCGCATCACGAAACTGCGCCGGCTGGCCATGACTTCACGCAACTACTTCGACGCCATTACCCCAGCCCTAGACGCCATTTTAGCACGCATCCATGCCTTTGATCCCGAAACATGGGACGAGCCCTATCATGTTCCTGACCAGCCCGAGTTTTTGCTGATGGCGCGCGTCTTCAAGTGCTCGATTGCACTGTATGCCAACCTGTCGTTGCCCCCGCCAACGTCGCAGTCAACACCCGAGGTCCTGAAATCTTGGGCTTCGCGCAGAATTGCGCTCCGCGAGGAGTTGCTTCAGCTGATGCGCGAGTCGTTTGCCATCTTGCCGTCAAAGGCCGCACTGTGCTGGCCTGTGGCCGTTGCCGGCGTAGCGGTTGCAGATGGATCCGAGGAGGATAAGGTGTTTATTGTATCAACCTTCCAGACCGAGCAAGACAAAGTACCCGAGTGTTGGTACGTACCCAAGTTCTACATCGAGAAGCTGCGCGGATTCTGGGCGTCGGGCAAGCTTGGCTGGGAAGACTGCTGGGATGAACCTTTTGCACCCATGGCATAGCGTGCAAGGTTGCCTCAAGAGCTCATCTATGGGGTGTATTTCACGTTCTGTGCTATCGCACTACATCCACGGAGCCCTTGTTTGCAAGCACAACTGTCTATGCCCAACTCCAGCTTTGCAAGCAGAAAGGACAACAGTCGCGATTCCGGCGTCCCACTATGACCTCGCCAAATGTCCAAAACCTATCCTCATTAGGGGCCTAGAAGAACACAACCTGCACTGTGAAATGTGTTCAACGTGATGAAACAAAGTAAAGAGAAGGAAGCTAATAGCGGTCTGCGTGTGGTTGAGAAGGCGGGAGCGCGTGAGCCAACAAGCATCTCCTCAATACTGAAGAGAGGTACGGACACGTTATTTGCTCTTTTAGTGATCGGTCGTTGGGATTCCTGGGGAATTCCGCAAAGTTCGGGGCAAAAGCGGTAAGCACAACTTTTGTCACACAGGGCTGAGTAAAGTTGATGGCCATGAACAAATGCGACTTGCGAGCAGCCGAGCCTTGTCTTTCCCCAGACCCCAGGGAACCCCCGTTGTGTCGGAGCTGGCATTGACAGCCCGTTTATTTTCCTTGGTTCTTTTTTGACAATCTTGGCAGCTTCGGTTGTTGGAGAGCTCGCCCAAAGAAACTCCATGCAGCACATCACATCCATGAACGCGCGCCTGGGGGTTCAACACGATGTCAACCAACCTTTCCAAATAACTCGCCGCAGATACACTTTTAGATCCACCAATTTTATAGGAAACTCTGACTCTCAACAGCATTGTTGATCAACGAGAAAGTGTGGCCACGGACCACGTTACGTCGTCCAATCCCATCATCGCCGCTGGCTAGGCCTCCCTTCTCGACGTCGGCGAAATTCGCCTCTGCAGAGAAGAGGCAGCTCGACTGTCCCAGTCCACCGTACCACTGTACGGAGGGGAGGACAGCTACGACGGCGTTCTGGAATTCCGTTTTTGAAGGACGCCAAACACGAAGCGGTAGCCCTCGCAGCATTATCCTCCAAGGACAATCCGCTATCGCTAGATGCATGCCTAGCCGTAGAATAACTGCCACCCGCCTACTTGCTACGTTAAAAATCTAGCCAGACTACTCATAAGGCTCATAAAGATCATTTTCCTGCAAATACCGCGTCCAGTCCGCATTTCGTGAAGCCTTTTCTCTCACTTCGTCCGCTAATTGCGGCCGTTGATCAAAGAACCTTTGCCCGGCCAAGTCAAGGTCGCCAATAGACTGTTCTTCTGCGAAATATCTAGTGAACAGTTCTGTTAGATCTGCAGGATACCGTATTAAGCGCGCAAGATGAAAGGATTCATCTGCAGCCCTTGGGAGCCAGTCATCTCCGAGCCTTTCGAACCGGTCATCCTTATCCGTAGCTACAAAGAGCTCTCGGATAAAGAAAATGCTGAAAAGGGTCAGGCCGGGCTCCTGGTTAACTGCCCATAGTGGAGGTGTGGCCAGCTGTATGGGGACCACGTTGGCAAACCCCCAGTCGATTATTCCGTGGATGTGTAGTTTCTCGTCGACAAGAATGTTGCGAAGATGCAAATCTGAATGACTGAGCACGAAGGGGCCATCTTCCAAGTCATCCGAAATAAACCGATCGAAGTGTTGTCGAACTGAATGGAGAGCGAATAGCTCAACCCGTGTGTCCGCTTCAAAGTAGTCAGCGACAGGAGTAGCGGTATACCGGCTGAGCAAATCAAATTGCGACTGCATGTAAGCCCTGGCAGTTGTGAAGGCAGGCAGGCGGAGACCAAGATCGTTCGTAGTGAAAGACGAGAAATCATCCACAACCGCCTCATCAGAGTCTGTGGCAGTAGCGAGCCAATTTTCGGAGACTCAAGACTCCGAATTTGACCTAGATAGTCAAAGAGTTGTAAGAAAAACTGCGTGCGGGTATCGTCATCGGCTTCGGTGAAATTCTTCAGTACAAGGGGATAGCCAGGCATCATCTCGCAGATGAGAAACATCTGGGTTGTCCTTTTGTCGTTGGTCAACACCTCCCCTTTACAATACGCGTAAACGGTTGGTACTGGAACTGATGTATAGCGCCTGAGATGGCTGAGGAGGGCATTAGTTGGAGCCGTCCCATCTGCGCTGGGTCTTATATTGAGGTAGAAAAACATACTTGAGTGTGGCAACCTCGCTATCTATATATCTCGAGCTTCGTCCACGGGTCGTGCAGCACCACCTCGATGGATGCGGACAGCCCATCTCGTCTTGCAGTCAAGGAACTCGACAAAGAAGCAGACATTGAAGCTTCCATTCTCCTGCCCGATAACCTGACACGCTTCCCCGTCATTGTATCTTGATGCAAGAGCCTCTATCGCACTTGGCTGTATTCGCTAAGAAGGCCGTGGTGGCCGCTCGCCTAACCTTGCGCGGCACCGGCCGCCGATTGACAGCCTGTTCAACATCGCGCGACAAGGCGCCATAGACAATCCGGCGCCAGATTCCGAGTAGAAATGCGCTTGCAGAAGTCCAAAAATACGAGACGAGCCTCGAAACAATATTGAACGCCATGTGTTGCGGTTGTACGTGAGAAGAGTGGTAAGGAGGTCATCCACGGTTAACCACGACAGTGCAGGACACAATCAAGCCTGCCTTGGTCAACGCACTGTCAAGTAACCCAGGGGATCCCACGAAGCTTACCACAGGCAACGAACTTTACAACAAATATGTTGTCGGGGAGTTATCCTCCTGGGATGTCAACTGGGCTGAGGTATCGCCATCCAGCTGATGGCGGCTGAGGCGCCCTTGCCCGCCTCAGCCTTCACTTTTCCCGGAGCGAGCTTGATGATGGACTTTACATTCAATTAGAAAAAATATTTCAGCAGAGAAAAATGGCCAACTCTGCATATATGGCGGATGATGACCTCTGTGAATTATGTGACCCTAACCCTAGACGTAGAAAGTAGGAGGGTCATAAGAGATGACCCTACGCACGATATAAAGGAAACCATACAAAAAAATTTCAAAAGAGGCAAAAGCCATGGCTATACCATCAATTTCGCGATACCTTGTTCTCCTGATTGTATTGAAAACATTTTCATGCGAGCCTGCCAAGATCACTCGGTAGCAGCCCCCTCCAGATCGAAACCATTCCTATTCACAGACACTGCCTGAGCAGCCTTGCAAAGCACCAGAAATTGGCCTATATAGCTTCAAAGGATCAGCGTAGCAAGTCGCACAAGCGGACGAAATGCAAGACTGAAGGCTTTGCTTTAGTCTGCGTGTTTAAATCTTCACTGCTCGCGATGCTCGCTTAAAGAAGTCCGGGGCACTCTACAGTAGGCTGCTTTTAGTGAGTGGCCAAGTGCTAGCGCAGCGCTACCGGGCTGACTAATTTCAGCTGACGCCTCAACATATCTCAATGACTCGGGGAAACGAGCTTCGTCGCTGGCACAAAAAGCTTCAACAACAATCTGGTTCATAGGAACATCATCGCCGGCGGGCAAAGGCAATTGAACGACAAGTTACTTGTATGGGGATATGTGAAGCGGTCTGCAGACGTCTTGTCTGCGGCCAGAACTGAGCAAAGAAAAGATGCTGCTGTACACCAAACGGGCACTGCCCAAGATTCCGAAGAAGCGTTCACGATCAGGTGAGTCCTTGTCTTGATCACCTCGCGTGGTTTTCCGAGCGCTGTGCAGTATCTCTGACATGCTACTTGCCCCTCTTTTGTCGAACCAGGTTGTGATTTTTGGTACGTCGTTCGCCCCCCGAGACCCCGTCACATTTGTTAACACCCCGCCAATAGTAGAGTCAAAGTAAGCAGCAAGTTGCGCGCAGAAGCACCTCACCGACAAAAAGCTAACGCAGGGTCGCCACGCAGAAGAAAAAGTGTGACGAAGGTCGTCCCATCTGCGCGCGATGCAAAGAGACGGGCCAGGAATGCGTCTACGGGCCGCTGAGGCCGCGTCAACGGAGGAGCGCGGAGGGATCCTCGGCGTCGTTTCAGCAGGGCGGCGCAGCAGACGCCCCCTCCTTGCCCCAGCCAGCACTTGGCGACGACTGGCTCGATGCGGATTTCCTCGACCTCAACTGGCTCGGCGCGGATTTCTTGGGCGACGAGCTCGCGGCTGCCGCTGAGGAGTGCGACCGCGCAAGCCTGGGCCGGCCGCCGTCGCCGTCGCCGCCGCCGTCCTCCGCCGTCGCGCGCCGCCACTACGCGGGCGCATTTTACGCCACGCCGCACCTGGAGCTCAACATGCCGCTCTTCTCCGAGTTCACAACCATCCGCGGCCGGCGCGTGCTGCTGGACCACTTCGCCAACACGCTGTCGCACCTCATCGTGCTGCGCGAAGACGGCGGCAGCAACCCGTTCCAGCAGCTAGTGCTGCCCATGTCTCGACGTAGCCCCGCCGTCGCGAGCGCCATCTACGCGCTGTCGAGCGCGCACCTCGAGTTCCGCGGCGCGTCGGGTGGCGAGAAGTCGAGCATCGAGTTCCATTCCGAGGCTGCGCGCAACCTGGCGAACCTGATTGAGCGGGGCGCAGAGGGTAACCAGAATGAGCTCCTGGCGGCGGTCATCTTGCTTATTTACTATGAGGTGGTAAGTCTGCGGGGTTGATGGGTTGAAGGTAGGCGCGATGGCTAACTCGTGTAGCTGGTCCATCGAGAGCGGTCGCAGATTGTCAACGGGCATTTGAAAGGTGCCATGGCTATTTTAAACCTCGGTCCCGCACCGTCGGATCCGACAAGAGCATTCCTCGAGCGTGTAAGCTTTCTCGACGAACAAACTCACGTAGACATGCTAACATAGCAGGCTTTTCGCTTTTACGACGTTATTGCCGCGCTTTCCTTTCGAACGCCGACACTATCTAGCTTGCTAGCGCCTGGGAATACGGATCGGTTCCTCCCCGTTGACAGCCGGGGCACCTCGCAGCCGGCCGGCAGCGCCGACGCTCTCCTCGGCATGGCGACCTCGCTGTGGCCCATTGTGCACCAGCTGTCGAACCTAGGCGCGCTAAAGGATCAAGTTCTCCAGGCAGAATCCGACCACGACACCGTGAAATCCGAACAGCTGCGCGCAGAGCTCGAGTCTACCGCATCAACCATCGAAGCGTCCCTCATCGCATGGGAGCCAGAGCTGTCGCCCGACCAGGCCGGCACGCTACAAGCCGGCACGTCGTCCGCCGGCGGCGCCATCGCCGGGATCCTGGACAACGCGCGAGCGTACCAGCACTCGTCGCTGGTGCACCTGCACCGGAGCATCCTGGGCGCGCGGCGGGAGGACGCGACGGTGCAGGCGCACGTGCGGGCGAGCCTGCGGTTCTGCGTGGGCACGGTGGAGAGCGCGGGCCCGATGGGGGCGCTGCTGTGGCCGCTGTTCGTGGCGGCGTGCGAGGCGCGGCTGACGTCGGACCGGGCGCTCGCGGAGCAGGCGTTTGCGAGCATCGACAAGCATCAGGGCATGGCCAACATTGGGCAGTCGTGGCGGATTGTGCGCGAGGTATGGCGGCGGGCGGACGAGAGGGCGGCTAATGATGGGCAGGGGGATGAGGGGGAGCCGGCGCCGCGGAACGGGGACGACGATGGGGAGGGAGGAGTAGCGGAGCTTGGCATCGATCTGCAAAAAAGTAGTCTTGAGGGGTTTATGAGGGGGCCAGAATTTGGAGAGGAAGATCTGTGGCGGAAGGTGTGTAGGGATATGGAGTTGTCGGTGGTGTTTGGATAAGGATGGAGGGGGAGTTTCGGTGGTGTTTACTGGTGGTGTTGGAGGGGTGACATTTTAGGATTTGGAGTATAACGACAGCTAGGTGTAACTAACGCGGTACACAGATGACGCATGTACGGATACGGAGCATGGTTTTTACCAGGATTTTGATGAAATTGAAGCTGTTTGTTTTCATGGTAGTTCAAGGCGTACAGACAGAGGCGTTGTTGTGTCGGTGACAGGAAGTCGTCGCCCGCTGTAGGTGGAGTTTTCGGCAGGGGGCCGAATGCGTCGGCGTCGCAAAATCGGGCGCTTGAAAGAAAATGGCGCTTGAAGGAAGGCAGTCTTCTGGAAGACGGATTCTGTAAGGGGACAAAGATTGAGTTTTGCGTTAGCGATGTGTGGTGACATTCCGTTCCGTTGTCCATCGTAGCGTGGGGTGGGGGCGTTCTTTTCTTTTTGGCTGTAGAATCGAGCACCCTTGTGACTCGAGTAGAGAGTCATGTTTTTGCTTTTGTGCTGGAAAATTTTATCAAGTCGGCGTGTGGCGCTGTTGAGAGAAGTGATTCGTCATATAACTGCTTTGTTGAAGTGCAGACCCTGAGCGGCCCGCCGAAGCCACCCGCAAATATCAGGACGAGCAGGAGGCGGAAAATGGCCGCGAACAAGCCACAAAAATAATTAATTACCTTAACGTAGCATCCGTGACTGCAGGAGACATGGCTTTACGAACAAGCGCGGCGGGAGAGATGAAAAAAAAAAAGGCCGAGGCAGGGGGAGGAAGAGGGGGAGAAGAGCGACCAGGCAGGGATACTTCCCAGAGGTTGTTCGGTAGTTAATCTACACCGTTTACACTTGGTGAGTGAGACTCGCACCGAACTTGTGTCTTTGCGGGTTGTTGAACAAAAAAATCAAATCCCTGGTTCGTCGCCCATGACCCATATCTCGGTGCTTCATCAACATCTGTCTGTCTCGCCTTGGTCGTAGTAACCTGTGGCTGATCATGTCCCGAGCAGACGGGCGCCATCACTCACTGCAGATGCCATCAGAAACACGGATATTGAGGCGCACAAAAAAATTTGCCTGTACTGGACATTTTGCATGAAACCCTGAAATCGCTGTGCTCTGTTCTTTTTATTTTCGCTTGATCTTGGTCTTGATCATCCCGTCCCCCACAATCCCAAGGTACCCACGGGTTGCTCCAGCTTAACGGGGCCGCTGGAACCTCGAAACAAACAACCGAACTGCACCACCCACCCGCCGTTTTCTCCTCCATCCATCAAGCTCACGATCTTTCCTCCCTACAAACATCGACTCGTCGTCGCCATCTCCGAGACCAAATGCTTCTCTACCATCACATGCGCATCTCAGTCACGACACCTTGTTAATTTATTCGTGTTTCCCCCCATGCGCGCCTGACTGCATAGCACAACACCACCTCCCACCCCACGCCACCTCGGCCAGCGCATCGTGACGCACCATAAGCCTTACCCGCTCCTGCCCTCCCTCCCTCCCTCCCTCGCGACACCGACCGGCCCAACCAGCCCTCTTTTTTCCAACTCGCCCCTCTCTCTTCTCATCTTCTCTGCGCTCACCTATTCATTCGCTACCCGCATTGTACGCTCGCATAGTCATGGTTAAGCCATGAATGTGACCTTTGGCAAGTCGGACTCTTCCGCCGCCGCCCCGAGGCAGATTCGCTTCGTCCACAACCAAGGCCAACCGCCCTCCAAGCGCCGCAGGATCAACGCCGCGTACGTCCGTCTCCTCTCTGCCGGGTCTGCCCCTCCCGCCGATTCCGTCTGCCGTCTGCCGATGCCCCTGCGCGCATCGACCACACACAAAACCCGGTTGCTGACCTTGTACCTCTCCCCCCCATAGATGCCTCACATGTAGACGTCGCAAGACGCGCTGCGACGGCGAACGCCCGACTTGCTCGACTTGCTCCAAAAACGGCCACAGGTGCCTGGGCTATCCCGACGAGTCCAAGCGCGACGGCCCCGATGCTGGCGACCACACCGTTGACGACAACGAGCACGACCAAGCTGCGACGGCAGCGTCTACTACTCGCCCTCGTCCCGATCTGTCAACCGGCGCTGGCACAACGGTTCGTGATACCGGAGATCGCGATACCACCGCCCGAGCTCCTCAGCTCCACGTCGACCCGCGTTCTCGTCCCTCCTCAGCCCAGCTACCGATACTCCCTCCACATCATTCCACGGCTGCCACGGCTGCTACTCCCGCGAACGCCCAGGTTGCCCTTTCAGGCCCCGATCCATCACCCTCGGCATCGTCCTACCAGCCGCCCCAGACAGCGTCCACAGATGACCTACCATCTTCCCCAACAGCTCTTCGCCGCACGCAAAGCTACAATTATCGTATCCCCTACTTTCGCTACTTTGGTCCCACCGCCATCGTCCCCGGCTTCAAGCAAATGGTCGTCTCCGTGCGCGACCGTCGCCTGTCCACCTCGTGCGCCGGCTCCCACCCAGGCACATCGCCCCTGTCTACCCACAGCGCCGCCTTCGCTACCAGCTCTGCCGCCAACAGCGACGTCGTAGTCGACGACTTGCCCTCGTACGACCCCAACGCCCCCGGGCCCGTTCACCCGCTCCTTCTCCATCTCGTCGAGCTCTTCTTCACCCATGTCGGCTGCAACTTTCCCTTTCTCAAGCGGGAAAAGGCCCTTCGCCATATCCGCGAGAAGAGGGTTGAGCCCATCCTCGTCGACTCCATCTGTGCCCTCGCCGCCCGCTTCTCTGACTCGCCGTCGTTGACCGGCGGCAATGACAAGATGCCCCGCACCGAACGCGGCAACGCCTTTGCCCAGCGCGCCAAGCAGGCAACCGTCGACACCTTTGCCTGCCCTAGCGTTGAGGCCGTCCAAGCCTGCCTTCTCATGGCATATGAGGGCTTCGGCTCCAACCAGGACAGTGCTCTGTGGATGTATCTTGGCCTGGCTATCCGCATGGCTATAGACCTCGGGCTGCAGAAGCGCGTGGGCATCAAGTATCAGGGCGAAAAGGATCCTTGGAACACGCAGCAACGCAGCCGAGGGGCTAACGACTCGGAGAGCCCAGAGGACCACCGGCGCGATGACGGGGACCTCAGCGAAACGGGGCAGAGAGAGCTGGAGCAGGAACGAATCGACACATTCTGGGCCGTCTTTGTCCTGGATCGCATCATTTCTTCGGGAACAGGTCGTCCTGTCACGCTACGCGACGGTGACTTTGAGCTGCCGTTTCCAGAACCCACCACCGATCTCAGTACCGGTTGGCCGACGCTCTTTCCCGTGCTTGTGCAAATCATTCACCTCTACGGGCAGGTGTCCGATGTGCTCAACAACATCCACCACCCCGACGACCTCACCCAGAAGCGCTGGGGGGAGCTCAGCGAAATGGAGCACAAGCTCACACGGCTGTACAAGAACTGGGGTCACAGGTTGCAATTCAACGTTAACAACTTCAAGCACTACCTGAAGGACGGCCAAGGCAACATCTTTATCCTGCTGCACCTCTGGTTCCATGCCCTCTTTATCAACCTGCATCAGCCGACAGTCCTTATGACCTTTAGTGAGCTGCGCAGCGAGCTCCAGCTGCTGCCTGATAGCCGTGAGCTAAGCATGAGCAGCGCCAAGACCATTTGCGACATCCTTTCATTTACAGACCTGATCGATCCAAAGAGCTTCATTGGGAATCCTTTCACTAGTCAGCCCATTTACATTGCCGCTGGCGCATTCCTCATGGAGTCCAGTGCCAGCGCCTCGGAAGGCCCATCGCGCGAGGCCTCGCCGCCGCCAGTCACAGACCGCAAGAGCGCTGCCGCCGCACGTGGACGGTCATCGCGCCACTCAATATTCGCTTCGGCCGCCACCCAGAACTACCAGCGCTGCTACAACTCTCTGGCGGAAATCCACAGCTGCTGGGGCGGCATCAAGTACATTCTGACGGCGCTGGACCAAAAGTCCAAAGGCATGCGCGACGTCGAGACATACACCACTGAAGAATACGAGAGCACCAAGGTGATGATGCTGCCACCACCTGTGCAGGCGAGCATTGGCGACCAACTCAGCCGCCTTAACAACCAGGGCTCGCCCATACCTCCCGGCGCATTCGCGTGGAGCTTCTCCGGCACAGCCAATTCGCCAAACTCCAACTTTACCGCGATGTATCAGGCCGCCGCCCCGGGCAACAACAGCGCTCCCCAAAGTGGTGCCGCGTCCGGACCCTCCAAGGCACCGGCACCGGCGGCCTCATCCTCGGCTAGGCCGCCGCCGCTCGCCGTCTCCCGCGAGGAGGGCAACACGCCCCCTGGCAACATGGTTTACGACCCGATCCGCCAAACACAGACGAGCACCATGTTCCCGCCAGCGGTCCCACAACCAAACCTCTCAGCGTTACGGCACTCGCCGCAGCAGGGCACTCCTGGCGCAGGCAGGCTAGCGCCCAATGGCCTGCGGTTCGACGGCATAAACGATGAGGCCAAGATGTTTGCGACGCCACACCCCATTTATACGCCGACGAGCCAGCCTTCGAACCCGTATGACGCGGCTGGCGCTGCCTTTGGCGCCTCGCCGCCAGCGGCAGCCGCCGATGGCAGCCAGGCCACCTCGGCCGCCCTGTATGCGAGCATGGCGTCACAGTTTGGCACATGGGGCGGCGGGCCCATGATGGGCCAGATGGACGGCATCACTTTTAACAGCCGCGACATTGACATTGAGGAGCTGGGGCTCCAGCAGGACCTGGTCAGCGGCTCGTGGCTGGACCTGACGACAGACATGCTGGGAGGGTTGTTTGAGAGCCCAGAGCTGAACCATCACCATCATCCGGGAAACTAAAAGAAACCCCCTGAAAACGGAACTCATGACGAGGGCGTGTCTTTTTTTACAATTTGTGTGTCTTTTTTCCATGGCATTGTGAAGGATTTTAGCGAGCGATGTATATCTTTTTTTTAATTGGAATTTGGATTGCGTGTGGTGGTCTTTTGGAAACACTGGTTGTTGGAAAGCGAGCGAAAGCGGAAACGAAGATGGGGGATTGCTATTTTCGTCCTCATCATATCACATTGTATGGCGCATCTGGGAGTTTTTTTGCTGGATTCCTCATATTGCTCATGTTCATCGCGAAAAGCCGGATTCTCTTTTTGTTTCTTACGTTTTGCTGGCAAGGAATTCCAATATACGGGTTCATGAAAATCAAATGCATTCAAACAAGGACACAGCCCTTTTTGCTTCTTTCTTCCCTTTTTACTTTTTGTTATCTCTACATGCGGTAAAATCCAAGAAAAATCCCTTTTCACTGATCTCTTGCCTCTTTTAACTCGTAATCCCATCACGTCGTCCTTGAAACATCCTTTTTTTTTCCTTTCATCTTTGTGCCATCACAGCGTTAGTTGGCCGGGTGCGCGGCCATCTGCCTACCAACCAGGCGCGCGTGCTGGGCCATGACGGCGTCGGCGATGGCGAGCGCGGCCATGCCCTCGACGATGGGCACGACGCGGGGCACGACGCAGGGGTCGTGGCGGCCTTTGGCGGCGAGGATGCCGGCGCCCGAGGCGTCGTAGAGCGCCGTGGTCTGGTTCTGGCTGATGGTGGCGGGAGGCTTGAAGGCGACATGGGCATGCCGTTGGAGATGCCGCCCTGGATGCCGCCGGAGTGGTTCGTGCTGGTGTGCAGGCGGGAGCGGGGGATGCCACTACCGCCGGGCGTCGCCGGGGAGGCTCCGTCGGCGGCGGGCACGATGAAGGGGTCGTTGTGCTGGCTGCCGGTCATCTCGGAGCCGCGGAAGTCGGAGCCGACCTCGAAGCCCTTGACGGCGGGGATGGACATCATGGCGTGGCCGAGGAGCGCCTCGAGCTTGTCAAAGGTGGGCTCGCCGAGGCCCGGCGGCGCGTTGCGCACGACGCAGGTGACGGTGCCGCCGGTGCTGTCGTGCGCCGCGATGCGCTTCTCCATCAGCACGGTGGCGTCCTTGTCCGGGCAGCGCACGGGGAGGAACTCGTCGACCTGCGGACGGGTGAGCGTGGTGGCGAGCTGCTGGAACTTGGGGCCGGCGCTCATGGCGTCGGCGTCGCCGAAGAGCTTGATGTTGCCGACGGAGGAGACGAAGGCGACGATCTCGACGCCGTAGGTCTCGCGGAGCCACTTCTCGGCGATGGCGCCGGCGGCGACGCGCGCGATGGCCTCGCGCGCGGAGGAGCGGCCGCCGCCGGAGCTGGCCTTGATTCCGTACTTTTCGAGGTAGGTCCAGTCGGCGTGCGACGCGCGCGGGTAGAGGTCGATGGTCTTCGAGCCGTAGTCGTGCGGGCGTTGATCAAGATTCGGGATCGTTAGGTAGGAGTTCCGAGTCGTTGGGGGGGTTAGCATGATAGCATTGTGACTTGACGTAGGGATTGTCATACGTGCGGCCAAACTCGGTGCCAGAGTGGATGGTGACGAGGTCCTTCTCGTCGCGGGGCGTGGTGATGGCGGACTGGCCGGGGCGGCGGCGGTCGAGCTGAGGCTGGATGTCGGCTTCGGTGAGGGCGAGGCCGGGCGGGCAGTTATCGACGATGCAGGATACGGACTTGTCGTGGGACTCGCCGGCGCTTGGGGGAAGAGCGGTCAGTATGGAGCAGGAATGCAATGTTGACTGAACTTGATGGCTGTCTGTGGTAGGCTTACCTCGTCACGCGGAAGTGGCTTCCAAATGTTGACATGATGTATAATTTGATGTGTCAATATCGTTGGGGGGGGTATAAGAAGGGAGTGGGAGCGCAGTTCCAAGAGATGATGGGCTTGTTAGGAACAGGTTGCGATCAGGTTGCGACTGCTGGTCTGACTCGGTCATGATCTGACGTCGGGTGGGTTGATTTCTTTGTGGTGGGGGAGGGGTCCAGTAACTATCGGCCAGCACCGATTGGGTTTGTTGCTAAATAACTAGAGCTACAGCTTCCTTGTTGGTGAGGAAGTCGTACTGAATTTTGTTGTTTCTAAGTTATAAATTAGATTTCCTTTTCTAGACTTTTTTTGGCATCGACAATCACCGCAATTAGACGCAGATAACACGGGCGAAATAAGGCACATCGGTGATTTCCCTACCCACTCATCGCAATCCTAGCCCGGACCCGCAGACGTCAAGGTGCAACTCCTGCGTCAAAAAAACCAACAGCATCACCAAACTCGCCCACTCCACGCCAATCGCACGTCATGCATCACCAATAACGTACCGTATACATTGCCAGGCCTGAATCTCCTCCCTCGGCCCATCATGGCCTGCAGGCCGCGGCTGCTGCGGCAGCTCACCTCGCCCATACCCACCGTCCTCCGATCCTCGCACCGCCTCTTCTCTACCGCCGCCGCCGCGGACCCGGCCAACACGACGCAGATTTACATCTCCCGCTCGCGCGACCCGCTGCTGAACCTCTCCGTTGAACACCACCTACTGCGAACCGCGTCTGCCCACGCCACCGTGCTGATGCTTTACGCCAATGCGCCGTGCGTCGTCTTCGGGCGGAACCAGAACCCGTGGATTGAGGCGGACCTCACGCGCCTGGCCCGGCAGGGCGGCGTGCAGCTCGTCCGGCGGCGGTCCGGTGGCGGCACCGTCTTCCACGACGAGGGCAACGTCAACTTCAGCGTCGCCTGCCCGTCGGCCGCATTCGACCGCGACCGGCACGCCGAGATGGTCGTGCGCGCCCTGCGGCGGCTCGGCCGGCCGTCCGCGCGCGTCAACGCCCGCCACGACATCGTCGTCGATGCCGGCCCCGACACCTTCAAGGTCTCGGGGTCCGCGTACAAGCTGACCCGCCTGCGGTCGCTGCACCACGGCACGTGCCTGCTGCGCAGCCCGAACCTGGCCTCGATATCGGCGCTGCTACGCGCGCCCGCGGCGCCGTTCGTCAAGGCGCGCGGCGTGGACAGCGTGCGCAGCCCGGTGCGCAACCTGGACCTCGACGCGGACGCGTTCCAAGAGGCCGTGGTGCGCGAGTTCGAGGACATGTATGGCGGGCCGCCGCGGCTGCGCGCGGTGGTCGAGCACGACGCGGCGATGGCGGTGGACGAGGTGCGGCGCGGGTACGAGGAGATGCGGGCGCGGGAGTGGGTGTACGGCCAGACGCCGCGGTTCGCGTTCGCGACGCACCCGACGGAGCTGGATCCCCGACCGCGGCCGGAGCTGCCGTTCAAGGTAAGGCCCTCCTCTGGTGGCTTTTGGCTTCTACCGGTATCCAACCAAGTTTTTGCTGACTTGAACTAGGAGCGCGTGCACTTCGAAGCGAAGCAGGGCGTGATTGAGCGGTTTGAGATTGAGGACGGCAACTGCGTGCAGAGAGAGCTCTCTTTGGTCGGAGCGACCGTCTACAACTTCGGCGACTGGTCGGCACAGCTTGCCGATGCAGGCGTCGCCAGTCAACAAGCTCAGTATATTGGTGGCTGGCTGAACGGCGTCCTCGGGACTGAATTCACGAAACCATGAGCGTCTGCTTAGCACAGATGTCTTGTCATTTGCAAGGAGCCTAAATCCCGTGTATATGTACCATCATGTATAATCTTGTTATGGAGAGCTATAGCCCCAGATTAGCGGCCATGGCACTCTACTTTCTAGCGTAGCTAATTCAATGCTGTTGGATTGCTGTATCCCAAACGGGTTCCTCGGTATCTCCTCCATCATACACGAGCACCAGCACGCGGGCTGCTGGCCGGAGGGGTCAGCCGTCCAGCATCTGCGGGTGCGGCTTTGCGGGCCGGCGGCGTTCATCGCGCTCGAATGCGGGCACCCCGCGATAGTCCGGTGGCTGGTGCAATCGGGGAAGGTCGGCCTCGGGGCACGCAACGCGGTGGGACGGACGCTGCCGCAAGCAGCCCTTCTGCTGCCGCGGGAAGCGGCCGGGGGCGAGCATCGGCGGGGCACGCTCGAGGCGCTGCGAGAGGTAGGGTGCGCGCCGACCGAGAGTGACCTGCAGGATCTCGAGTGCTAGCCTACCAAGCGATGCAAGTGCCCTTTGTAACGCAAGTGATGGCGATGAATCTTCGCTATTTCACTATAAGTAGTTGCGTGTTCCACAATCATCTGTCGGATCGCCGATAGCTATGACAACTGTGTCTTGTGTTTAGCTCCATAGCCTCATGAAACAAGGCGTAAAATGCATTCACCACACATACCATCTATCCTTGTAATAAACAATCCCAAGGTATATCCATAAACGCCCCCAAACCCTTCAAATGTGCGCCTGGTCTGCTCCCATCGCCCAGATACATACACACAGTCCCCCCTCCCTTCACAGCTGCAGCTCCTCGACCTCCATCCCGCACGTCGCGCACGCCTTGACCGTCATGCCCTCCTCGTTTTCCACCGTCCGCCCCCATTCGTGCACGTGCTTGCCGCCGTGCCTCCCGGCCACCTCATCGCCAAACTTGCTCGCCCCCGTGGCGCCGAGTGTCCCCGCCTGGCGGCGGAACGCGTCGGTGCGCGTCTTGCGCTTCAGGTCGCGCAGCTTGTCGCGGAACTGGCGCTCCTTGCGCGCGCTCTTCTGCGCCTCGCGCCGCGCGTACTCGGCGTCGAGCGCCTCGGACGAGCCCCATTTGGTCTGCAGCGCGTACTCCTCCACCTGGCACCGCAGGAAGAGCATCATGTCGTGCCAGTGCGACTTGTGCGGGTTCGGCTTGGAGAGGTGCGGCAGCAGCTCCGGGTCTCGCAGCTCCGCTGAGAGCAGTCAGCATCGGTTTTCACGGGGAAAATGGCGGGGATGGAGGAGACGTACGATCGGTGAGGAGATAATCCTCCTTGCACTCCGTCTTGGTCAGCAGCGAGTACTTGTCCGGCAGGTTGTTCTTGCACTTGTTGCACACGCAGAGGTGGAAGACCTCCTCCCAGACCCAGTCCACCTCGAGGCTGCCGCACTCGCGGCACTTCTTGCGCGTCTTCTCGTCGTCCAGCACGCTGATGCCCGGCTCGAACGGGCCCGCCCGCTGCCGCCGCAGCGTCCGCAGCAGCTGCAGCTTCTCCCACTCCTGCATCGTCATGTCCTTTGGCCGCTGCGGCTGCTGGTCGCTACCGCCAGCCACGCCAAGCGCGCGGTTGTGCGGGTCGTCCTCGGCGGACAGGAAGCCGCCCTTCGTGTCCGTCATGGCGCTCATGTTGTAGTCGACGAACTTGGCAAACTTCTTGGCGGGCCGCAGCGTCGACTCGTCGCCGCGGTCGCGCCCGTCGCGGTTCGTGCCAGTGTCGGTTGTCGTCGTCGTCGTTGCGGCGAGGGGCCGCTTGCCGTTGGCGGGCTTGGAAACGTAGACGTCATCGGTCGGGACGAAGCCGGCGGCCGTCTTGGGGGGGGCGGGCGCGGTGCCCGCTGCCCGCTGCTCGGCTTCTCGTTGATCGCGAATCGCTTTGGCTTTTAATCTATTTTCTTCCTGCAGTGGCGCAATTTCGTCAGCAGGAGTCGTCGTGCACAAGTCGCCGTGGTAGGTGGACTCACTATGCGCCTAAGTTGGTCCGGCGTGAGCGGTGACTTGGCGGGCGGCCGTGACGCCGGTGGCGGTGTCTTTGAGCGTTCCATTGCCGGCAGAAAAACAAGCAATACCCGTCCGGTCCTGCGAGGTGTATGTGTATATTTTCGCGGCACAGAGCAATCGCTGGGTGGTTGTAGGGATGAAAATGCTGGCTAGCTTGGAGGGGTCGTGTCACATATTCACGCCAGCGATCGGAGCCATCGCCACCCGCACACGTCTACACGTGATCCTAATCAAGTTTACGACACATTTCTAGAGTAGAAAAGACTTCATTCGAGACAGAATTATATGCAGATTAAGGTCAGAGCGCATTAGCAGGTAGATTAGTTATACAACGCCGGCTCACCCGTCGACTGCCATCACGTATTCGTAACGCATCCTGTCGCCGTGTAAAACCCCCGCCATCTAAATTTGTCCTGTAATCATCACCCCCATCTTCTCGTCCATCGTAATACAGAATGAACCTCTTACTCCTCCTTGGCACCACCACGGCCAGCCTTCTCAGCAGCCTCAACAGCCTTCTTGTCACTCTGGGTCTGGCCACCCTGCATGGCGCTCATGAAGCCGGCGGGGGCCTTGAAGGGCCGCTTGAGCTCGCCCGAGGCGGGCTGGCCGTACAGGTGGATCTTGACGAGGTTGCTCTCGAACAGCGACTTGACGGGGATTATGGACTGGATCATGAGCGGGTTGGTGTACTTCATGTACAGGTGCATGAAGCCCATCATGGCGACGGCCATCAGCTGGCCGCGGAAGGCCTGCTTGAGCTGCGCGGTGTCGTAGGCGTGGATCGTGGTGGTGACGAGCTTGCCCTCTTCGGAGGATCCCATGGGCGCCGGCTCGACGTACTTGAGCGTGGTCATGTCTGGTGCGAGGTTAGCAATGTGCGGAAATCGGCGTCGCGTGACATTGCCGAGACGGTGTTGAAGTCGTCGCTCGATGACGTACCCTTCTTCTTGTTGATCTGGGACATGATGTAGGCGTAGATGAGCGCAATGACCACATTGCTGCCGATGTAGACGGCGCGGACCGTGTTGAGGACCTGGGGATCCTCAAAGGGGATGCGCTTCGAGACCTGCATCATACCGAGGATGATGATCAGGTTGGTACTGCATTTACTCGGTCAGCCAAAGTTCGTCGCACGGGCGGCGCACCGTGTAAACTCTGCTCGGCCGCCCGTGTCGCCCAACTGTTGCACTTCAAGCTCGTCCGAGTCGTCGTCGAGAACAGGGGGTTGCACGGGACGGGCCAAGTGGCCTCCTTCGGGAGGAGCGAGCGATACGAAACCGGGCATCCTTACATTTGGGGGCTGAGGCCGGCCATTTTGAATCACGCGGGCGAGGTAAATCGGGCGGACGGGTGACGGAGAATCGCAAAGCGCAATGGAAAAGTCGAGTGGCGACGAAGGAAAATGGACAGATTGCCTGGGAGAAGATGTCGTGGATGCGCCAAGATGGAACCACAGAGAACTAGGTCGAGGCGAATTTTTGACGCGGCGTTGCTACGTTGGCCTCTTTGCCCAGCCACAAGGTCCCCGTCCTGAGTCGGGCGCTGTGGCGGCGCTGCGTGTGGCTCGGGAAGAACCGCCTCGGGTCCGTCTTTTATCCGTGTTGCCACACCTACCCTGTATTAACCTCTTGTTCACATGTATCCAAAATCGCAACAGCAATCGAAAATTCATTGTCCAACTCTCAAGTATGCTATTTACGGATCATAGGGAAAATATCTAGCAACGACTGGCTTAGGCTAGGTGAGTCGTGTTAAACAGTCGGTTGCTAGTATTTGTACCCTTGGTCCATGGAACATACCTGCTGAAGAATCACAGTGCTGTTGGGACGGTGACGCGAGTTTCCTTGACTGTAGCTCGCCCAGCGCTCTTCCTAGTGTCGAGCCGTCGAGCGAGAAAACTCAGTCCTGCGCAGGACCTGCAGCAGCACCAGGTTAATACGACGACGACTTGTCCCCTCCCCCCCTGTCGGCCAGGTTGCCACGACCAGATGCCGGCCTGATTTCCGGCGCCAGGGATATCAGGGGCAGCGACGGTGCATCCGAGAACCGAGACGAGACGTAGCCTGATTCTAAGCAATACATAGAGTAAAATATTACCGTGGTAAGTGATTCCGAGTTTGAGAATAATGAAGTCGCGTTTCTACGACACTGTTCTATTCTCATGATGTTGCGGGTTGTACATCTTATCTACCCTGCCGCAACCTTCGTGCTGTTTTTGAGTAGAAGTTTAAAGACAAGTGGTCATGACGCAGACGAACGTATGAAGCAAAGTGCACGGGGGTGTTCATCTCGTGCATACCGATCAAGTTGGTGGCTCATGTGGCGTTGCGCACCCCTTCGCAGACTTGATTAATGCAGGAAGCCGTAGGCACGTCATCGCTGCCGGTATCAGCCCCGCCCGCGAGCAGACCGAGAAGTTGGATCAGCACAGGAGCATGAAAAATCCGTTCGCACCTGTGGGATGGGGGTTGGTAGGGGAGACTGCTACAACGCGAGCTTGCTGAAGAGCAACTCCAGATGGTGATGCGCTGGCAACGCCAAATGGGGTCTCCATACTTGGCATTCGCCTTATTACATCTAGATAGACAAATCAAAAAGTGATATGTAGCGGTGTTGTCTTTCAGATGCAGGATTCTTTGGCGACTACGCTTTTGTGGAAAACCAAAGTCTTGGTTTACACACGATCGTCCCTTGAGAATATCGTTCATCCCCCTTTGGCGCTGCGATGACCTATACTGTCATGGTCGAGGCTTCATTGCAAATGTGCAGAGTTCAAGGTGTCTTCTTCTCCATACTGGCCCTGCGTGCATGTCACCCCAAGCCCCGTACTCGAAATGTTATGCGTGTTATGGTGTGGTTTTTGTCTGCGTCTTCTTCCCGAGACCCTTTGACCTCTGCGACACCAGCTCAAAAGTCTATTTCAACGCATCCAGGATTTTTATGATATCTCTTGACTTGAGCATCAATATCCTGTCGTACAGTCCTGGGTCTAATCAATATTTGCACCCTCTCTGCTAGCAAGTCGGCCGATATTGGCCGGCAACGAACTACTGCCTGGGATAATAACTCCGAAAAAAAAAGTGCGTCATCTTTCACCGTGGACAAGTCTGCAAATTGCCCTTCGGCATATCGCTCCCGAGTTATGAATGGTATGTTTGTTTTGTTTCCATCTGCAGATCTGGCGCCGCATAAACGAGCCCTGATGGAAAGACGATAGACAGCCGGGGCTTACAAGCCGCCTCGCTCGCCTCGCCATGGAGCTGAAGGGGCGGGAGCTAGGGAACATGGCACCATCAATCATCAAGATCAACATCAACATCAATCGTTGGTCCTTTTCAGGGGCGGGGATGACCAACTACCCGAACCACAAGTCTCCGTCTCGGTTTTCTCGATAGTTGCCAAAGAAACTCACAGCCTGATTCCCGCCTGAATGATTCATTTTCAGAGGAGGCTCTGTCCATGCAAACGTCCATTCAACCGCGCCGCCGCCTGTCGCACAATCAAAACTACCTGTAACGCTCCACCAAGAGAAGCCTGGCTGACTTTATCTTTCCCTGCGCATAACGCTAAACCATGTCTCGATGGACGTCATGGCGCAGTGCCTCTGCGTCACGCACCTTTTTCTTTTTCTTTCCCCTCCAAGAAGAAGTATCGAGGAAGAAAAGGTACATCCGGAGCTAAAGAGGGGCGTGTTGTCGGGGCCACCACAAGATCAGGCAGGGCAAAGAATGGGTCAGCCGCACACCCCCGACTATATCAATTTGTAAGGAAGGGCCAAGACGCCTTTTTAGCGTCATGCAGGTGAACGAGTTGTCGGGCCGGGGTTGTGATTGGTTCTATAGACGAGGGAGTGTGTCTTTTGCACTCTTCGATTCCTCCCACCCCCTCCCTAATGACAAGCCGTTCGCAGCTCACTCCCCTGCCTCGGGAAATGGGGGCGACACTGGGAATAATGAGCGAACGGCATGTGGTGGCTTGTCTCTTGCGTCTATTGCTCTCGATGACACTGTTGGTGGTCGAACTGAGAGAAGCACTACTTTGCTGAAGCTCGCTGCTTGGTAGCGAAAAACCACCGAGACCTATTTCACCCTAGCATCGCAGACACCTCAACAAGTCCTGCCCACTAACTAGATCCCTCCATTCTGCATCTCGCCTCGAATCTTCGTCTCACCAGCCTTATTCCTCCACCGCCATGTGTCCATCTCCCCTTTCTCCTCATTCTAAATTTTTCTAGTTCTTCATTACAACCTTCTTTAGCTGTTTAGTGCACCAAGGCATAGTAAATTTCGTAGCTCAATCTTGGTACTCCCTCCTTGTGCTTGGACACAGCGCTGGGACGCATTCTGGCGGCCTGGCCGAGTCGGGAAGCTCGTTTCGGCCGGATGGACGCGGACAATCACATACAGTGGCTGAATGAGCCCGCGTTGATGAAAGCCTGTTGCCACTTGCGGCACAAAACTGCAAAAACAAAAGTCCAATTCAAGTCATTTTCAAACGTGCTATTTTCCTCCCACCGGCCTTGCTTCGGTGTTCACTCCTTCAAGGCTCACTTGCCAGCCGTGTTAGCTTTGGTGTTAAACTCTCATCCACATAATCCGGGCATCTCCGCGAGAACCACCGGCTAGAGATGTAGACACTACACTACAATGAGGAAAGCTAGAATGGTTCATCGGCTGGCTCCTCGTAGAAGTCCGATACAAGGCTAGATCTCACAAACCCGACCAACCCGTGTCCCCCCTCCCCCGCAAGCGACAAGGCTGGCTCTCCGTAGACCCCCCGCGCCGGCCGTGGCCCAAATCCTATAGTCGCATCCCCCGTGTCGTATGTGCATGCGCATCATGTATCCGGCACGCGAAGGCTGCATGGACGACAACGCATGTGCAGGGGCTACGGAGTTGAGTGCTGCAGCGGCAGAGGGGTGCAGCTGAGGCAGCGCTTTCATCTCAGCCAACACTGTAACCCGCAGACACTCCTGAATATGAAAAATCGAGCCTATGCATGCATGTACCACGGCATATGCTTTGGTCGACTCACTGGTACTTGCACAACCCAATCGAGCTCGGGACTCCTTCCTTCAATGGGCCGAGACCTGCGGGGGCGCCATGGAGATGGGTGATCAATTCGTGGACGGTCACCTTCCACGGAGTATACGATTGCCTATTCCATTTTACGAGGAGGAATGAATCGAAGGATTTGGGTGAGGAGGGGAGATGGACACCGACTCCCGTCCCGCCCAGCAAGAGTCGAGTGGGCGTCGGCAGCATCGGACAGCGTCCGCCTGCCACACCCCTCACTGCAACCACCTGTTGAATATCGTGCATGTGTCCGGGGACTTCTGGGCAAGCAGCGTCACTTTAGGCAGCAGCATTTCGTCCAATGCGGAAGAAGGGCTGTCGGAAGGGTCTATGAAACGCACAGCGGAATTTGGGGGCATCAGCGGCAGTATGGCACGGAATTCCGGTCATATGTAGAGTAGTAATATATTACAATAGAGAATACATGAACGTGTTAAAGTACATGTTACAAGATGCTCATCCCAGTACGAGAGCAAACATTGTAACAGGGAGTCGGAGATCGAGCCAAGCAGACTCTCTTCATGATGTATGCGGTTTTCGGCGTCATTTGTCAGACCGTGTGCATGCATGCACAATGCGTAGTTGTTTTTTTACTCGCCGCTCCAGCGTTTCCGCTCGCGGCGGCGCTCGTCGTCCCTCCTGAAGTCGCCCTTCATGTATACCCAGCCGCCCGCGACCGCGTTCGCCGCGCCCAGGCCGACCGCGGCGCCGCGCACCAACCCGCGCGCCGAAAACTTGGCGCGCAGCGCCTGGGGCCTGCGCAGCGCGAGCAGCGCGTACAGCCCGGACCAGGCGGCGGTCAGACCCGCGCTGGCGGTGGTGAAGCCGGACAGGTTGAGGTACGAGGAGAAGAGCAGCGTCGGAGTGAAGAGGAAGAGAGGGACGGGCTGCATCGGGCGCGCGTGCAGCGCGGTGACGAGGGTGGCGAGCAGGGAGGGCGGCAGGGAGGACGCTGAGTTATTGCGTAAGCCATCGGGTTTTTCGGTGACGTGGCGTCGCGCGCGCGCGGAAGAAGTGGTGTTGTCGCGTGTCGCTTGCAAAGCTTGGGGGAGGGGGGGGGGAGGGGGTGTCTACTTACTGCCCCAGTCCTCGTTGCGT